AGAAGGTTGTGATGGTGACATAAATCTTAATTACAGCCACACTTTTATGATCTTTACATCGTTTGGTGACTCGGTTCCTAAGACCTTAAAATGCCTCTTCATTATTCCCACTCTTCATCTCCTATAAAGATGGGGACACTGAGGTGACAAGGAGAGGCTGAGTGACTTACCTGTGGTCCCAAAGCAAGACATGGTTACCCTCAATTCTAGACCCTAATATCCTGGTTAACTAAGTCTTAGGTGCCCCGGATAGAAATGCTACAGTTCTGGGTCCCCTCATTTGCAGACTGGTTTTTAGAACTTCTTATTTTTTCATTTGTTCCCCTAAGAATAAAAGAGCTCCCGACAAAGACCCAGTTTAGTTGAACCATCCATCGTGATCTTCATTTGGCTGAAGATGTAAAAGTTTGCAGAGTCCATATTCAAAACTCTAAAAATAGCCTTTTTTTTTTTTTGATCTGGGTGGCATTGGTCCTGGTCATTGCCCTTGGCTCAGATGGCCTGAATTATCTGCCTCTCTCTTGCAGCCTTAGCTAAAAAAATCTAGCGTGAATAATTTAAGGCTTGTTCCCTTTCCCCTTCTGCAGATTTCTGGTGCCAAACTGATTGTCCCTTCGACACTCACAAAGATGGGCTATTCCTGTCCTGATGAGCATTCCTTCTTAGTTAGGAGAGTGACTTTGAGGGGCTGTAGATGTGCCAGGATGAAGGGCTCAGGTTGGATGGACAGCATGACAGGTGTAAGCTGATGGCCCCATCTGGGTTTTCCCTGAGAACTTTGGATGCCAGCCTCCCCCCTTCTTCCCCTTCCCCACCAATCCAGGTGGGATGCACACTGGTCAGCTGCCTGGTCTTTCGTCTTCCTCTTTTCTCTTTGGAGACCACTTTGCATAGAGCTAGACTCACTGCCTTTCTCCTTGGGAGCATCCCTCAGTCTTTGCCTGATTAAAGATTTCAAAAGGAAGTTAGAGACAGAGGGGGGAAAATGAAATAAAGCCAAAAAGCAATCTCCAGGAACCACAGAATGCTTTGGAAGCATTTAAAGTACTGTCACCGCACTGTTTGACTGTAATGGGAGCCTGGGTCTTAAAACTCCAGCAAGGTTTGCCAGGAACCTTCTTGGTAAAAGAATCTTGAGCTTGATGGTTCAGTGCTAGGGAGCCAAGAAATGGGTCACTCAGGGTCCTCTGTAATCCCTTGGCCTGTCCTTGGACTGGCTCCATCACTTTTTCTTCCTTCTCTTCCTCTTCTTTCTTCTTTCTCTTCTTTTTTTTTTTGGTGATACTGGGATTTGAACTCAGGGCCCTGGCTTCTAGGCAGGTGCTCTAACACTTGAACCACACCCCAGCCCTTTTCACTTTAGTTATTCTTCAGATAGGGCTTCACGTTTTGCCTGGGGCCAGCCTTGGACCCCGATCTTCCTACCTACACATCCCATACAGCTGGAATCACAGGCATGCACCACCGTTTCTGGTTGTGGGGGGGGGTTGCTAATATTTTTTTGCTAGGACTGGCCTTGAAGTGTAATCCTCCCAATCTCTACGTCCTGAGCAGCTGGGATTGCAGCTGAGAGCCACCATACCCACACTCTATCAGTTTCTTTCAGAGGCAGGGATAGTGGAGAAAGAAGGTTCCGGGCTGTGGAGTGTACCACTTGTTAGCCTATTGATAAAGATGTGTGTCTCTGCAGTCCTACACTGGTGGCTGAGGGTGTGTGTGTGCCACAGGCATACTTTTCCCTGCCCTGTTTAGTGACAGTCACTAAGCCGAGAGATCAGCAGTGCTGTGTGGGACCCGAGTGCATGCAGGCAGGTGTCTATGGAAGGGATGAAGCAGAGCTGGGAGCAGCTGTGTCTGGGACCAGTCTATCCTGCAGCCACTGTGCCCCCACCCTGCCTCAAGCCCTAGGGGGGAGGACTCCACCCTCTGTTTGTAGAACCTTTGAAGCTTCGAAGGTGAGTCAGGGAGTGTCTACCAAGCCTGGCCCTGGCCTGCCATTGAATGTCGCTATGTCACCTAGTCACATTCAAGGGCACCACTGAAGGCCTCTCCTGCTTTTCCTTCTGTGTCCTGCCCTGACCCACACACAAGGTCCTGGTTCACTCTCTGCCTCCACTTGCTTGGCTGAGCCAACTCGCTTGGCACTCTTCCCAATGACCTGGCTTGGCTTGGGCAGATCTTGTCACCTGCATATGCAGTGTCCTGCCATCAAGTGTGCATTGTGAGCAGCTCTGTCAGTGGGGTGAGGACCGAGTGAGTTAGCATGCCTGAGTGTTGGGAACAGTGCTTGGTGAGGTGCATGTGACAGTGACTCTGTAGGGTTGCTGGAGAAAGGAGAGAGGCAGGTGGTCAATGAATAGTGGTCGTCTGTGTCGTGGAGTCCTGTGTGGTCAGCAGGGACTGTTTTCTAGGGCGGCAGGGGACCACCATTAGGGGGTCCTCAGTACTGAGATGGATGCCTCCAAGTCAGAAGGCAGGTTCGCCGAGCAAGGGAATCTGTCTCGTCAGGAAGGAGCCCCATTCTCAACAGGAGGACCCGGGGGGAGGGAGAGAGTGGCCGAGGGCACACAGCTCAGCAGCCTACTTTGGGAAAACCTCCAGGGGCCAGGGGCTCAGCTTAAAATCCACAGCCATCCGTAGGCCCTGAAGAGCCAGGCAGGATGGGGACAGGCACTGACCCTGCAGAGGAAAGATCCCTGTGAGTCTTGGTCTCAGGAGGACACCTCTTTGCACACCCCAGCTGCTCTGCTCAGATCTGGGACACGCCGTGGGCTCTCAGGGATTCCAGCTGGCCGACTCTACACTGCCCTGTTTGTGACTCAGTTAGTCCCCATGTCTGGGGGTCAACCAGCCTCTGGTAGCACACTCTGTAGTCAGGCCTGAGCTTGTACAGATGTTTTTGCCTTGTCATTATTCCCTAAACAATGTGGCACAAGTGACATATGACATATGACAATTACATTGTATTAGGTACTATGAGCAACTAAAGATGACTTATAACTAATAGCAGGAGCATACATGTGTTCAAATACTACATCATTTTATATAAGCAACTTGAGCATCGTGGGTTCCACTGGTGTCTGGAACCACTCCCCATGGATACCCATGGATGACCGTGCTCCTGCCAGCTCACACAAGGGAGGGCCAGGAGGGGACATGGCTGCCTCCAAGCACCCCTGCTGGAAAGGAACTCAAAAGGCACACCCTGGAGGCTGATCCCCTGTGGGACTTCACCCCTGCCGCACCCCATGCACCTGCCAGCATCCTGGCTCTGGGCTATTCCTCTGAGCAGAATTAAAGAATTCTTCAAAACAGGGAGAGCTGTCCAGCTGGGTCTGCACAGGGCAGCTTTTAGATCCAGGGCAAAAAACTAGGTCACTGCTGGTGAGAGCAGCAGCAGGGGCCAGCCCTTGGGCTCCCTGTGGCACCCCGGCTTTGCCTCCTGCTCCCTGGGATGGTGTGCCAGGCAGAGCTGCAAATTCTCCAGTGGGTGATGGGAAGTAGGGCTGGGGTTGGGGAGCTTGAGGGACACTTGAGGCTTCTTCCCACTGCCTGCTTCCTTTTGGGCTCAGCCTGAGTTCTCTCTGAGATTTGGGTCGGTTCTATGGCTGCCATGTTCTTGCTAAGCTTGGGTGTTTTCAGTCCTTTTCTCTTCTTCCACACACTGGGCTTAGTCCTTAGGGGAAGCTGACGGGTGAGGAGAGGTTCCCCTAGGTCTGGGGAGCAGGGCACAGCCAAGGGGTGCACAGGAGCTGGAGAGCTGGGTCTGCTGGAGCCTGAGCTGGACTCTAGGCCTCTGGCCTCTACAGGTTCTGCCCAGGCCTCTTTGCTGACACTGAGCAGCTACAAAAGGATGTCAAGGAGGCATTAGGTACCATAAGTAGCCTAAACGTGACTTATAACTAATGGGAGGATGTATACAGGTTGTGTGCAAATACAACATCATTTTATATAAGGATCTTAGGATTCCAGGAGGGTCCTGGAACCAATCCCCCTGGACACCACACCAGCCACAAAACATTCCCATCAAGCAATTCAGTCAGTTAGACCCGGTCGAGCTGTTAGATAGAACCATCAGGAGAACATGTTACACATCACAGAGATGTGATCAGAAATCCTGTAGGACAAATGACCTAGTTCTTGAGAGAGAGAGAGAGAGAGAAAGAGAGAGAGAGAGAGGAGAGACTGGAGCTCAGAGACAGGAGAGACTTAGAAGACAAATCAACCAATTTTAGCACAGGGACCTAATTTAGATTCTGACTCAAAGAAACTTAAAAAGAAAGAACAGTTTATGGGTCATGTGGGAAAATCTGAAACTGCTATTTCATGGTTTAAGAAAGGGTTGTTAATTGTTTTTAGGTGTGATAACTGTATTGTTATTGTTTTCTAATTAAGTTTGAGAGCCAAACATTCACAAATGTCATGGTGTCTGGGACTACTTCAAAGTAAACCTGGGTGGGGGGAGTGCAGGATCTGGAAGGCCGTGCATGAGAGAAGGGGGGTTCTCAGGGGTAATGGTGAACCTGTGCACAGGGACATGGAACATCACTATAGCGTGCTCTTTATCTTTGTATGTCTGTGAAAATTAGCATGACAAAATCTAGAAGGAGAAGGAGGAAGAGAAGGAGAGAAAAGAGGGAGCAGGGAGAAGAAGGGATGGAGGAGGAAGGGAAGGGGAAGAGTAAGAAGCAGAGGAAGGAGAAGGAGGGGAGGAGAAGGAAAAGAGAGAAGGAAAGAGAGGGGGAAGAGAAGGAGGAGGAAGAAGAGAAAGAAGAGGAGGAGGAGGCTGAGACACCAGTAGCAGTTGTCATGGCAATTTCCGAGCCTGCCCTCCTGGCTCATGAGGGTCCCAGGGACCTGGAGAACACAGCCACCACAGAGCCCAGAGCAGCCACCCCTATGGTTGCCACAGGCCTCAGTGTACTGTTCACTCCTGGGCTGGGGAACCTGACTGGAGGATACTGACCCCTTCCCACCCTCAGAGCACAGGGGACACTCACTGTGGAGAGGCAGCTCTTCTGCTCCCGGATGATGGCCCCAAAGCCTAGGAAGCCGGTCACCATGACGAGAGTGCCTGCAAAGATGAGGATGTAGGCGGAGGCAGCAAAGGTGCTGGAAGCCAGGACACTGAGGTAGCCACTCTTCTCCACCAAGGTCCAGACGCCCACGGCCATGACGGATGTTCCACCCACCTGCAGGAGACACAAGGAGAGCAGGTGGTGCCAGGGGCCTGGACAGCTCAACTCAACAGCCACCTGTTGAATGCCCACCATGTACCAAGATGCTTCATGTGCCACCTCATCTAGTTGTCCACAGAGCCTGTGAGAATTTTGGTTACCCAATCTATAGACAAGGAAATGTAGGTTCCAGAGTTTGGGAGACTTGTCCGAGGCCACACACATAAACCAATTGCAGGGTGAGATTTTGAATCCGGATCTGACCCTAATTCTGGGCTTCTTACTATGCATCCCTGTCAGGAGGTGGGGAGACACTGAAATTGTGAGACTGACAATGTGTAGAGAACTTCACTTCCCTATGCCAGCCACCCTGGGTGCTTCCTGCCTCACAGTGCTCTTCTGTTATCCACATTCTCCCTTGGGCCCTTTCAGATGCTGGCCCTAGGTCAGAGTTCATGTTTGGGTGTCTTCCCCTTAGACAGGCCCACAGAGGAAGGAGAACTGCCTGAGGTTCTGTCTCCACGTGGGGAAGGGCCAGGATAAGCACAGAGCCAGGCCCACCCACTCGGTCACAACACCTCCACCATGGAAAGGCCACTGTGTTCCACTCGTTCCTCCACAGAAGGTTGGTGGAGGAGAGATTCCTTCTTTGCTAACTGTCTCGTTCTCTTTTGGTTCTGAGAAGGGGCAGGGCCAGGACACAGCTGACTTGCAGATCGGGGATTGCCTCCTGAGAGAGATGGTCTGGGAAACACAGCTGGGGGTGCAGCTTGCCAGGCTGGTATGTGAATGACCCTATAGATGACTGTCACACTCAGCTGAATATGTGCAAGTATCCACAAGGTGGCCTCTGACAACCTCTGCCATATGCTCCTGGGAAGGTGGACTTCTGTCTGTCCCTCAGTCTCCCTGTCCCCATTTAAGGTTGGCTCCTTCTCAGATGAGTGAAGGATGCTTACTCTGGGGGTCCTGGGTGTAGACAAAGCCCCTCCCCTGGCTCCATCCATTCCCTTGATGCTTCCTCCTGCGAGGGTTTTCCCTCTGCTGCAGAACACTTCTTGGTAGAAGCCCCCCTGTCATTTCCCCCGATCTCTGTTCTGGGCAGTCCCAGCCCTCAGCTAAGAAAACGAAAGATGGTTCTTAGCAATTCACACACATAGCACCAACTTCACTTGATATACACAACCTTGGCCAATTTCTCTTTGTGAGCATTGTGACCACTCTGGGGGGATGGGAACATTATCTGTTTTGTAGACAAGGACACGGAGGCTCGGGGGGGATAAGAATGTGGTCAGGGTGACATTTTTAGGGAGTTTTGGAATTGAGATTCAAAGTCAGGTCTTCAGAGGGCAAATCTAGGACCCTGTCCTCGGATCTCATGGAGTGGGATCACCTGCTCCTCCAATTTTGCTTTTTAAACAGGTATGACTTCTTGCAAGTGCCATTTTATTTCCATTGGCACTTCCACCCGGTAAGAGAGCCAGGTGGAAGGACATCGCACAGTGCCACAGCCATGCTGCTCCAAATGGGAGTGAAAAGGCTAATGTGCTGTATTTCTTCTGTTCCAGGACACACGTTCCTCTCTCACTGTGACCTCTCTCACGTTGGGATGCATCTGATGACTGGTGACATCTTACAGTTATCTTTGGTAGCACTTTTTCTTAGTGGTACAAAAAACAATGGTGTTTTGGCAATTAGTGATATCTTAGATTCAATGTAATTTCAGGACACAATAGGTTTTTCAGTTCTCTGCAGGTATAGGTTATCTGGGGCTCACACAACTTCCTCAGCTGGAGAGGGATTCCCTGAGTTTGGGTCAATGGGATTGAACAATGGATGAGACCAACCAATGGACACTCTCATTGGCCAACCTCCATGACCAGTGGGAGTTTCCAGCAAAGTTTCCCACACATAATTCTTTTTGTCTTCTATAGTATGCCAGAAAGCCTTTGGTAAGGGTCTCACCTTTACACAACTAGCTGTGTGACCTGAAGATAAGCCCCTTAACCTCTCTGGTCCTCATCTTCTTCACCCTTCAAATAAAAGAGTTGTATTAGATGAATGGTTTTCAACCTACAATTACAAAGGATACCTTGATTACTTTTCCCCAAGAATCTTATGTTTTGAGGGCTTTTGCCTAACAAACATAGTGCATTCATTAAGTAATAGTTAATTTCTCAATTGTTATTAATCAAAGGCACATAATAGTGCCAGGACATATGAATAATAAAATAATAATAATAATAAAAAAGAATTTGAATGAGACACATAAGAACTGGAATGCAAGGTTTTATAAAAAAAAAAAAATAGTGCCAGGAGAGCTTCTGCACAGCATGAGACAGCCGATGTGACCACGCCGAGTCGATCTAACTCCAGAAAAAAGCTGAGAAACTTGGCTTTTAACAGGCACAGACTCTGTAAGGCTATGGACATCACCCATTTTCTGTTAGGCCGGTTAACCCTTTCTCTCCCAGACCATAGTGTAGCCTGAGCACTTGATCTGGGACCACCAGACCACCAGACCACCAGACAGATATGTTTGGACTAGCCTGGGGACAATTAATCCAACAGGAGACATGGAACCCACTAAGAATTTGATAAAAAGATTTGGACCTTCTGTCCAGAAGTGGTCTTCCACATAAAATAACACATTTGGGTTCAAGGGCTAAGTGCTCTTGATGTAGATAATTTCTAGATGTAGATAATTTCTAAGGCTTCCTCCACCTCTGTGTCCCTCTCAGCTGTGGCTTAACGGTCACCTGGGGAGCTGTAAAAAGCCAAGGTTACACCCTAGGCCAATCAGTAATCCCGGGAGTAGGAGCCAGGCAGGCAGGAATAGCTTATAAAGTTCCCAGAACCTGGCCAGTTTCATTAGCAGGGAACACTGTGCAGAGTCTCACAGAACAAACGGGCTCCCTGGGCAAGTCAGCCCCAGGAGATCTCTCCAAGTCTTGGACCCTATTTCCAGAGGAGATGCTTGGGGTGCTATTGACATTGGTTCAGGACTTGAACCCCATCCTTCTCCATCTGTATTGGAGTTCTTTCTTTGGTACAACTGTAGGAGGTGTCATCATGAGGAATTTCCCATCAAAAGGGACAAAAATCAGATTGTGTAGGAAAGGAAAAAAGTACGCAGCTCGTACTGGGAGAAGAGCAGCAGGGGTCCCAGGAATAGAGTGCTGCGCTCTGCCCGAGCCCTTGCAAGTCTTGCAAAGCAGCCTGAGCCTACAGGCCAGCTGGGGTGGTGGCAGGGTCCCCAGATACTAGACTAGGAAGAATACGGAGGGGTGCCCTGCTCTGATCAAGATCTAGAAAACGACTCCACGCTTATTCCGCTGTCCAGGAGAAGTCAGAAGATGAGTCTGAATCAACGGGGACCAGGTCCTCCCCTGTGGAGAAGGGAGCATCGGGAGGGGCTGGCATTAGGTCATTCAAAGGAGCAAGGGTTCACGACCTTCAGGGGTCTCCTACTTGGGACTGGTCAGCTCTGGACGGGAGAAGAAAAACTGCTCAGAGTAGGGATGTGTCTCCTGAAGGTGTCACAGGAGGGCAAAAGCTTACAAGCCTGGGTTCTGTCCCTCTGTGCCTCTGTGCCCCTGATTAGCCATGCGACTGAGGGACAGACCCTCAGCCTCTCTAAGACTCAGTCTCTTTGTCTGTAAATTGCGGCACTGGATGGGAATATCTCTGAGGTCCCCTCCACGTGACCAAAATGTCCCTACTAGTAGCAGGAGGACAACTTTCTTCACAGATGCCTCTAACAAGGTGGCCTTGGACCAGTGGCTCATCATGATCACTCCGGCCATCTGGAAAGTCCCTAAATTGGCCGAGAGAGCAGGGGAAGAGGCCAGGGAGGAGGCCGGTGGGGCGGGGCAAGTGCTGACCCCAGCGGGCTCTTTCCATAGCCATTTGCACTGAGTTGGTTTGACAGCATTTGACGCTTCATGGAGACCACAATGTTACTAACTACATTTTTCAAAGCGATGACCTGTGGCTGGTGAGCCAGAAAACTCAGCAGAGGGTGAAGCAGGACGACAATGACACAGTAAGACAGGAGGGACAGAGCAGGTTATGCATGGCACATAATTTGGGGAACTACCCACTTATAGAAAAGAAACATTGCCAAAACACTGTTCTTGTCATGGATTAGTTTGAGCAGTCACACATACCTGGGCCTCACAGAACTAAGCCACAGCAGGCAGAGGGTGTGAGAGCAAGTGTAGGGTTTTCTCTGTTCAGGTTACCAAGGGTTTCTGTGCTGAGGGACAGGGGCCTCCCAGGAAGGAAGGATTCCCCAGGCAAGAGAGTTCTCTGCCCTCAGTGCTGGGCAGCCAGGGTGAGGGGACACACATGGGGTGACAGTGTGTGTTTATTGGCTGCCTTTTGTGCCCACTGTTCTGGGAGGGTTTGGGGTTGGATAGGTAGGTTTAGGACCATACTTGTTATCCCTGCCTCTACCCCCGGGGCGGGTCATCGATGGCACCATCACCCACCCACCCAACACAGACACCCAGGTCACTGATGCTTCCTTCTTTCCTCTTGGTGGCAGCCACATGGCAATCTCCATTCTGCTCTCATATCCAACCCCTCTCCGCTTCCTGCTGTACTGCTCAGCTTGGCCCCTGGGCCCCAGGTCAGCCCAGAGCTCCTGCTCCACCTAGAGGTATGCTGGGCCCATGTTCCACCTGCATGGCACCCTGGTCCCCAACACCCAGAGCACCAGGCCCAAACTCTTTGGTGGGGGCCTGGAGGCCCTTACAAGTTTGACCCCCATCTGATTTTTGTCTTCCTTTTCTGCTACTTCCCTTCCTCTACACCTGGCTTCAATCACCATGGAACTCAGTGGTTGCTGTTATTGAGAACACTGTAGATGGCCAAGGTAGTGTCAGTGAACATGGGGTGTGTGTGTGTGTGTGTGCGTGCGCACATGCATGCATGTGCAAACTCTGGGCAAAGTGCTGGTGCCCACGTCCAAGTGCCCCAATGTGTCAGCTGTGTGAGACAGGAGAAGCTAC